TGTAGCTTTGTTATTGTCACTATTTTTTGGTGTTATTGCGGTGTTTTTGTAGTGTTATTGAAGGGAAGCCATAGTGCTATTTGAATGTTTGTGGTGATGTTATAGCTGTGATTTTATGGTATTATTGTAGTATTATTGACATGATTTTGCAGTGTTATTGAAGGGTAACCCTGGTGTTATGAAGCTATAGGAGATGACTTTTGTACCTTACTTTATAGTAGAGTTGTTATAATTTTTAATTGTTTGGTCACTGTCCACACTCCATAAAATGGGTAACAGTAGATAACACTATTGATCTAGTTTTGCATTGTTATTAATTTGATTAAATTTGAGTAAATTTAAGCTAATAAAAAAGGTCTGAGTACATTTACATTATTTTTAATCCTCGGGTCATAACTCAAAGTCTCAAACGACTAATAATCTTACATTCATACCACTCAATTCCAATGTATTTACACTCTAACAACTAAATTTTACTTTTTAAATTTGTACCACCCAAATCTTTCATATCACATAAAAAACAAAATAAAATAGACATTCTCTATTACACATTGTTATTGAGGTTTTATCACAGTGTTATTAGTGTGGTTTTGTGGTGTTATGGGGGTAGTATTGGATGTGTTATTGGAGTAGTTTTGTGGTGGAGATAGTATTATTGTGATAGTATTAGGGTGGTTTAGTGGTGTTATTGAAGGGAACCCGTAGTGATATTGACATTTTGTTTTATGGAGGTGTTATTCGCATTGTTTAGCATTATTATTCAAATGTTATTGTGATGTTATTGGCATAATTTGTGGTGTTATTGGAGACCCACAGTGATGTTATTGGAGTGTTTTTGTTGTGACGGTATTATTACCGTAGTATTAGGCAGTTTAGCGGTGTTACTGGAGGGAACCTGAGATGCTATTAACGTGTTTATCTGCGATGGTATTATTTACGTTGTTTTGTGGTGCTATAGAAGTGTTTTTACAGTGTTATTGTCATGATTTTGCAAGGTTTCTAGAGAGTTAATGCAATGTTAATGGAGTGGTTTTGCAATTGTTGTGTTATTGTGGTAGTATTGGGGTGGTTTAGTAGTGTTATTGGAGGGAACACGTAATGTTATTGGCATTTTTTTGCGATGGTGTTATTCGTGTTGTTTATAGAGTTATTGGGCTGTTATTACGGTGTTGTTAGGGTGGTTTTGTGGTGTTATTGGAGAGTCACAACAATGTTGTTGGAGTGGTTTTGTGATGACTGTATTATTAGTGTATTATTGGAGCGGTGTTATTTGTGTTGTTTTGTGGTGTTATTAAGGTCTTATTTCAGTGTTATTGACATTGTTTTGCGGTGTTATTGGGGAGTTCCCACTGTGTTGTTGGTGTAGTTTTTGCCAGCGTTGATGACGTAAATTTGGTCTGTTATTGCAGTGTTATCGGGGCCGTCTTGTGATGTTATTGATGAAACCTGCAATGTTATTAGAGGGAACCCATAGCGTTATTGACATGTTTTTCTATAATTGTTTTATTCGAGTTGTTTTGCAGTTCTATTGAGGTATTATTTAGGTGTTATTTCAATATTTATTATAATTCTATCCAATATTACAATAATTTCAGCGCTCATGCAATAAACAAGCTAACTTCTAAAATTGTTTAAATGATTTTTCCTTAAAAAAGTTAAAATAATATTAATATTGAAATACCCATTGGCTTACCTTTTCCAAGAAATACATATGAACCACTCAATTATTATGTAATTATATTTCTAACTCCTAAAATTAAATTTTTACATTTATGCATGTCATCTTACCTAAGCATGAAATTATATGCTCTACTTTTGTAAAGTTAAGATAATAATATATTTTAAAGTTATCGGTGAGTTGTCGCGGTGCAATTGCTGTGTTATTGAACATCTTATTACATAATAGAAGGACAAACCAAATTTTGAAGCTCACATCTAAATGTATTTTAATAGTACATCAAAACACAAACACTCGAATCGAATGAAATAATTAATAATACACTTAGAACTCACTAATTGAATACATCAACAGTTTGGTATATGTTTCTGGTGGTTGTGGTGTAAGGTATTCCTGCTATTTTGGAGTAATTACAAATGAATGTTAAGGAAAATATTTTAATTAAAAAATAGTCTAATGGTATTGAATTTCAACTATATACCTCATTGAGACAATTCAATATTACAAATAAATTTACCTCGCATGGGATAACTGGTTATTGGCTTGATGAAGCTTCTTTCATCTTTCATGTAAACATGATTCAAGTTAGAGAAAAATAATGTTACATCGAGTACAACTATTTTTGAATGTAGAAATATATACCTTTTACTCTCTTGTTTCTTTTTCTTAGTACCCTTTTAATCTAGAATTAGATATTCCTTTTAACTGCAACTTCGATGGGACATTCAAATTGCATTCTCTATTTAGTATATTTTTTTTTTCTTTTTCATTTTTGCTTTGATTAAGGTGCTTCCCACTTAATATGTCTTCAATATCTACTAATAATTTTTTCAATGGTTCCAACATACATTGCTCACCCAGTTCATTTTCCTGTGCTTTAATACTAATTTGATATTCAAACTTTTGAACGTATGAGCGAAATAGAAGGCCACTTGAAGAACCATTCAACATTTGGGACTCTTTGAGATGTTTATATCCAAATGTGTTATAGATGTCAGTTTTTGCTTGAACATATCATCACAATAAGAAATATATATCATTATTATTTGTTATATTTTCTAAGTTAAGAACTCGTAGAGAGTGAGAACATAATAATCCCATTTTAAATTTTTTGCAGCTGCACGTGCTCTCAGAAATGTCAAATTTAACAATCTAGGGTTTTTTTGACCCCTGATTATCCCAAATTTTTACATAAAATTTTGAATCAATATCTACAGAGAAGTCCACAATAAGACTACATATCCCATATAATAACTCTTTGTTAAACATTGAGTATACCTTCGTCGTATAAAATGAAGCTGCTCGCTTCAACTGAGCTGCTTTTAACCACACACGTAATTGTAGATTGAGCATATTTGAAATCTTCACCCTTCTCATTCCATCTCCATGATTTCATAACATTTTCAAGTCCCACAAATTGGTCGATAAGAGTGCTTGTTGGCTTGGAGACACCATGATACATATTATTTATGAACTCACTTTTTTTGTTGATAATATTCTAATTCAAATGTTTTTTTTATTGAATGTTGTTGATCACTTATGTCTGATATTGTACATATCATTTAACTAAACGTTGTAGTGTAGATCATTAAAGACCAAATTTCATCATACTCCTCAAAATCACACTTGATCATACATTTATAAAAAAAAGTCATTCACACTCTTGCTACCTATACCACATTGCACCTTCAAAGGAAATTTCTTGTAGAAATGTCATTAGCATAATCTTTATCGTGTATGTGGGAGACATTCTTTAATAACTCTTGCCATTCTTTGATCCTGATCAGTAAAAAAATATTATTGGATGCTTGTCATCCATTATACAAATCAATGTTTCGAATTGAAAGACTCAGTCGTCTCGTCGGATAAAAAACCAACTAAGAAAAGAAATTTTTGTCAAAGGTAGTTAACCCCAATAAAAGGAGCATAACATAAATTATACTTATGCAACCTACAACTTGTATAAAAAATTATGACATCCCCATAACAATCATAATAAGCCTGGATGTCTAATCACTCCAAAAAGCTCATCATTCTACCACACTCATCAGTTTGGAAGCCCGCACAAACATGCTATTCTCAACTTGTTTCTCCATGAACAATTGTAATAGAGAATTAAAATCACATTGTTCAATTCTATCACTTCTTCCTCTTTGTAAAAAATTGAAGGCATCTCTCTTCATATATTCTATGTTTTCTACCCCCCAACTTCAGTAGCATGGAAGTTAAATGCATCCGTTGCTCTAATCTTTGATTCTGTCATCGATCTCAATACATTTGCATTGATCTCATTTATCTTTCTACTGGAAAACAAAATATGCTTATTAGCAGGTTCCGTCAAGGGGTGGATATAACTCTTTATAAATTTATTAACTATCATGATGACTTCAACATCAATAACATATCAAACTATGACTGGACAACCAGTCCTTGTGTCCTCGTTTTTGAATATCAACGTGTTAGTGAACTTCGTCTCTTTCTTTTGACCAGCTTTTCACATATAAAATCATTCGTCTTAATGTTCTTCGAGTTTGGACAGTAAATCCAATATGATGAGCATAAGCAAAAAAATATTCATACGCTTCTCGCTCATTATGGATAATGGTGCATAAGAAAACTATTTGCCATTAGATCATTGTAAACATTTCCAGGCTCACAAAACTGTAAATTTGCATTATATTTTAAACATGATTAGATATGGAAATAACATCAAACGAACACTATAATTTCAATAAAACAAAACATTACACCAACATCTTCATAATCCTACAATAACCCCAACATATCACAAGAATAATACCATAATAACAACAAAATAACATCACAATAACACTATAATAAGACAAGTACTAGAATAACACAAGCAAACACATCATAAACACCTAAATAACAAACACACCGCTGTAGCTCCACAACAACGCCTTTACAATAATTACAACATTTCAGACGCAACTAAACTCACTTTCCTTTCAAACTCCTTGCTATTATTTTCGGAATCCATCATCAATATTTCCTGGTCGAGAGAGATGTTCTTTGCAGCTGCTCGAAGCCCTAGCTTCTAGAATCGCAAATGAAGAATATAATAAAATAAAACGTGAACCTGATAAATGATGCTTTTTCAATGGAGGTCAAAAAAAAAAAAGGTTTTTTATTGTTA